AAAAGCATCTAGACTCTTCTATAATTAATGCATTCTAGATAATTTTATACAATTAATGATAGGAGAGTTCTAGAGACCATATCTTCTAGAGAAGCTCTAGAATTTATTTCTTCTACATTTTTCTATCACTTGGGCCTTCCCAACAACAACTAAAACTAAATATTAATTAGGCCCAAAAACAAGTTTAATTTTCAACATCCCCCCTTAAACTTGTTTTTGTAACTCCGAGCATGGTCCTCAACCTTCGAAAATCTTCGTGCTTGAGTGGCTTCGTGAAAATGTCGGCGATTTGATCATGGGACCTTACATACTTTACTTCAACCTCTTTTCTTTCAATGCATTCTCGAATGTAGTGATAGCGTGTATCAATGTGCTTGCTACGGTCATGGAATACCAGATTCTTTCCCAATGCTATTGTCGACTTATTATCCACATATATCTCCTCAGCTTCCTTTTGTGGCATGCCTATTTCCTTGAATAGATTTCGAAGTCATATAGCATGACAAACACATGAATTGGCGGCAACATATTCGGCTTCACATGTGGAGAGGGTCACAATGGGTTGCTTCTTTGAACTCCAAGTAAAAGCCGTATTACCCAAAAGAAAGACAAATCCGGTGGTACTCTTGCGATCATCAACGTCTCCGGCCCAATCACTATCACTATACCCAACAAGTTTGAAATCTTTACAAGAATTGTAAAACAAGCCAAAGTTAAGAGTACCTTTGATTTAGCGAAGAATTCTCTTGGCGGCCTTCCAATGAGAGGTTCTTGGATCTTCCATATACCGGCTAATGAGACCAAGTCCGTACAAAATGTCAGCCTCGTACAAGTCAAGTATCGTAAGCTCCCAACTAAGCTCTTGAACATTGTGGGCTCCACTTTTTCTTCATCACCAAACTTAGATAATTTTACACCACAATCCACCGGGGTATTGATTGGATTACAATCATTCATTTTAAACTTTTCAAGGATTTTCTTTGCATATCCTTCTTGACCGATAAAAATTCCACTTTCACTTTGTTTCACCTCAATTCCCAAATAATAAGACATTAAGTCCATATCGGTCATTTCAAATTCTTGACTCATTGCCTTTTTGAAATTCTCAAATAAATTGGGATTATTTCCCGTGAATATTAGATCATCAACATAAAAGCAAACAATCAAGATTTCTCCATTTCCTTCCTTTTTGACATAAAGAGCATGTTCATGGGGACATTTTATGAAATTATTTGCTTGGAAATACTTATCAATTCTAGTATTCCAAGCTCTTGAGGCTTGCTTCAAACCATAAAGTGCCTTTTTCAACTTTAGAACTTTATCTTCATGCCCTTTTATTTCATATCCCGATGGTTGTTCTAAATAAACTTCTTCTTCTAACTTTTCATTTAAAAATGCGGACTTCACATTCATTTGAAAAATTTTCCATTTATTTTGAGCCGCCAAAGAAATTAAAAATCTTATTGTTTCCAAGCGGGCAACGGGAGCAAATAACTCTTCATAGTCGATACCGGCTCTTTGGTTGTACCCTTTTGCAACCCACCTTGCTTTGTACCTTTCAACTTCCCCCATGACATTCTTCTTCTCTTTAAACACCCATTTTGCACCAATTGCTTTGTGTCCTTTGGGTAAAGTGGCCAATTCCCACGTATCATTTTTTATGATGGCCTTCATTTCTTCATCCATGGCTTCCCTCCAATTCTTGTTGTTAGTCGCTTCTTCAAAATCTATTGGTTCACAATCGGCAAAAAGACAAAACAATGTTAGATCATTAATATTTTCGATTACCTCATATTGCTCTTGTATGCTCCTTAAGCGAGGCGGCCTTTCATTTGAGTTGTCTTCACTTGTGGATTCTTCAGGTGATGGTGGAGTTGGACTCGTGGGCTCTTCATGTGCTAGCTCTTGCTCCTCTTCTTCTTCATTGTAGTAAGGCAAGAAATTGTAGTCTTCTTCCTTTTGAGTCCAATCCCAAGTGCTCTTTTCATCAAACTCAACATCACGGCTAACCACAATTTTTCCATTGCTTGGATTGTATAACTTGTACCCCTTTGCTCTTGCATCGTATCCAATAAAGATAAACTTCTCACTTTTGTCATCCAATTTGCTTCTTTTTTGATCCGGCACATGAGTGTAAGCAATACTCCCAAAAATTTTCAAGTGAGCAATTCTGGGCTTTCTTCCACTCCATGCTTCTTCGGGGTTTTTGTTCCAAACACTTCTAGAAGGAGATCGGTTTGACAAATAAACCGCACAATCCACGGCTTCGGCCCAAAATTCCCTTGGAACATTTTTGCTTTTAAGCATGCTTCGAACCATATTAAGAAGGGATCGATTTTTCCTTTCAACAACTCCATTTTGTTGTGGAGTATATGGAGTCGTTAAGGGGCGATGAATACCATTTTCTTCACAAAAATTTTCAAATTCTTTTGAAGTGAATTCCCCCCACGATCGGATCTCATGGATTTTATTTTAAACCCGCTTTCATTTTCAGCATGAGCTTTAAATTTCTTGAAGGTCCCAAAAACGTCGGGTTTATGTTTTAGAAAATAAACCCAAGTTTTCCGACTAAAATCATCGATGAAAAGAGCAAAATAATTACTATTTCCGAGAGAGCTTGGTTTAATTGGCCCACATATATCCGTGTGTACAAGCTCTAATGGTTGTTTTGCTCTTGTAGATGCTTGCTTTGGAAAACTTTTTCTTGGTTGCTTTCCAAATAAACATCCTTCACATAATTGATTAGCTTCATTGATTTTGGGCAAACCTTTCACCGTACCTTTAAATTTCTTGAAGGCCCCAAAAACGTCGGATTTATGTTTTAGAAAATAAACCCAAGTTTTCCGACTAAAATCATCGATGAAAAGAGCAAAATAATTACTATTTCCGAGAGAGCTTGGTTTAATTGGCCCACATATATCCGTGTGTACAAGCTCTAATGGTTGTTTTGCTCTTGTAGATGCTTGCTTTGGAAAACTTTTTCTTGGTTGCTTTCCAAATAAACATCATTCACACAATTGATTAGCTTCATTGATTTTGGGCAAACCTGGCTCTGATACCACTGTTGGAAATAAGTGAAGAAAGATTTGGGAAATTGGGAGGCTAAATTAGAAATATTATGGAAGAGATATTTGAACAAAGGGGAAGAACTCTTTTTATTAGAACAACTCAATTTGCTTGATTTGCTTGATACAAAGTGGTGGTAAGGGAGCTCTATTTATACTAGTACAAAAACATCTAGACTCTACTATAATTAATGCATTCTAGATAATTCTATACAATTAATGATAGGAGAGTTCTAGAGACCATATCTTCTAGAGAAGCTCTAGAATTTATTTCTTCTACATTTTTCTATCACTTGGGCCTTCCCAACAACAACTAAAACTAAATATTAATTAGACCCAAAAACAAGTTTAATTTTCAACAACCCTGCAGGTTTCAATGCCTGGTACTTGTTTCTTTGACATGTTTCACACCCTTGATTGTAGTCCTTGATATCTGATCTCATACCTTCCCAAAAAACAGATTTGAGATCCTTTTGGTAATACCAACCTCCCTTTATAGTATAGAAGCCCTCCCCTCATTTTGTAGTCCATGCAAAGGTCAGGCTGTATCACCATCTTCTGAATCACTTCCCCCCATTTAGAATCCTTCTCTAGTTCTTCTCCCAAACCATCCCATTCTTGTCAAGTCACTGTGGAAAGGGCTGCATAAGTAAATTTTCTGGATAGGGCATCTGCAGCTTTGTTTTCAATCCATGGTTTATATCGGATAGTAAAATTGTATCCCATGAGTTTAGCTATCCACTTTTGTTGGTCTTCCGCCATTACCTTCTGCTCAGTCAAATGCTTCAAACTTTTTTGGTCAGTATGAATCTCAAAGTTTCTCCCAAGAAGGTAAGGTCTCCACTTCTGAGTGGCAAACACAATTGCCATGAGTTCCTTCTCATAGATAGATTTAGTCAAATGTCTAGGTGATAACTCTTTACTCATGTATGCAATAGGACCCCCCTCCTGCATGAGCACAGCCCCCAGACCTTTCCCAGATGCATCTGTCTCTATCACAAAGAGTTTAGTAAAATCAGGTACTCTCAAAACAGGTAATGAAGTCATGGCCTCCTTCAGGTCATCGAAAACTTTAGTAGCCAGTTCACCCCATTTAAACCCATCCTTTTTGAGTAAAAGAGTGAGAGGTGCAGCAATCTTACTCTACCCTTTTACAAACCTCCTGTAGTACCCAGTTAACCCTAGGAATCCCCTCAGTTCCCTCAAGTCTCTGGGTATAGGCCAATTCTTCATAGCTACAATTTTCTCAGGATCAGCTGCTACCCCTTCTGCAGAAATTATGTGACCAAGATAACTCAGTTGATCCTGACCAAATGAACACTTCTTGAGATTTGCCATCAACTGATTCTCTTGTAAAGCTCCCAGTACTTTTCTTAAGTGCTCTTTATGATCCTCTCTAGTTTTACTGTAAATTAAGATATCATCAAAGAACACTAGAGCAAATTTCCTAAGAAAAGGTCTCAACACCTCATTCATAAGAGACTGAAAAGTTGATGGTGCATTAGTCAACTCAAAAGGCATAACTAGGAACTCATAATGCCCTTCACGAGTCCTAAATGCCATCTTATGAGTATCACTGTCCTTCATCCTGATCTGGTGATAACCTGCTTTAAGATCAAACTTTGAAAAAATTCTGGCACCACCTAAGTCATCAAGAAGTTCTTCAATCACTGGAATTGGAAACTTATCAGGTATAGTAACCTTATTTAAAGCCCTATAGTCTCCACAGAACCTCCAGCCCCCATCTTTCTTCCTAGCTAATAGAATGGGGCTACTATAAGGGCTATTGCTGTTTTTAATGATTCCAAGACTTCAACATTTCTGCTATAATTTTCTCAATTTCATTCTTTTGATCAAATCAGTACCTGTATGGTCTGATATTTGGTATATCTGCTCCTTCTTTAATATTAATTGCATGATCACATTCTCTGGCAGGTGGAAACTTCTGAGTTGCTGTAAATACTTCTGGAAATTCTGCAATCAACCCTTCCCAGTCTCCTCCAATATCTGTTTTCCGTTCTTGATTCTCCTGTTGTCCCTCATAGTATAACAGATAACCATCCCCCACCTGGTGTAGTATTTGAGCCATAGTTTTCATTGAAACCTCCATCTGATTTGATACAGTGTTGCCTTTGATAATGCAAGTGACTCCCTGATTCTTCCATGTGATTATTTGTTGTTTAAAATTGATCTCCATATCCCCCAGTTCAGTCAACCATTCCATTCTCAGGACTAAATCAATTCCTCCCAATTCAAGTAGATAAAAAGTTTGATGAATTTCAACTCCTTGTACATTTATACCAACTTCAGTGCATTTGCCCAGATTAGGAATGTAATCTCCATTCCCTATTTGTACCTTATACCCCTTGATTGGATTATAAGATATATTCCACCTTTCTGCCAAAGCTCTGGACATGAAGTTGTGTGTGGCCCCACTATCAATAAGTATAGTTACCTCCATCTCTCTCCCTTGCCACTTTATTTTTCCTTTCACCTTGAAAGTATTCATGGATGGAATGCCTTCCTTGCTTAAAATGGACAGCTGCATGTTATTCATGTCCATCTGATTTGAAGTATTGGACTGACTTCCTTCTGATTCTTCATATTCCACATCAGAGATTTCCTCTCCTTCAGAATTTTCTATCTTTTCTGTTAGTGTCAGTTGATAATTCTTCATTTTACAGATATGTTCTCGGTTCCACTTTTCACCACATTTAAGACAGTCTCCTCTTTGTCCTGTCAAGCAGTTCAGCTTGGGAGAGTCTAGGGCCTCCCTTCCCTGACAGATTTCCCCCTTGAGAAGCTCCAGTTTTTACATCTGTTGTACCCTGCTCTTCAGTTGGATTTTTACTTGGGTTCAATCGCCCCTGTGATCCTTCCGACCAGTACTGCAACTTAGAAATGAACCCCCCTTTTTCTGTCCAACCCCTGTTGTCCACATCTCTGTTTCGACCACCTTTAACTGCAACATTTTTTCTTCCACCAGCAATGCCTTATCCATTAATCCAGTGAGTCCACTTGATTGATACAGTTTCAATTCAGCCCTGATCTCTATAAGTCCATTCATGAATACCCGTTTAACATTTCCTGGTCAGTATTACTCAATGGTGCGACCGCCATTTCAAATCGATCTCGGCATTCCATTACAGATTCATTTTGTCTAATGCTAAGCATGGGACCAAAAGGGTTCTGTACTAATTCAGGTTGGAACCTCCTGATCAAAGCAGATTTGAAACCTTCCCACGCGTGTTGATCAGTATGTTCATCCCACCATTGATACCAATTTAGAGCCCTATCTTCCATAGCGATGACCACCGCCTCCAGTTTCTCCTCATCAGATACCTGGTTAAGCTTAAAAAACCTTTCAACCTTCACAATCCACCCATACGCATCATTGCCATTAAACAAGGGGAGATCAACTTTTCGCCCAGTTCGGATCCTCTCTCTGCTACTAGTATTATCAGGAGTATTAGGAGTCATGGATTTTTGCATTGTAGTGGTCATGTATTATCTGGAGTATTAGAAGGAGTCGTGTATCATCCGGCAGAATCAGAAGTCAGAACACAGTGATATGTGCAGCTTCAAACCAGCAGAAACTTGATAATACCACAGGGCCAAGTCTCATGTCTTCTTTCTATTTTGTGTGTTTCACTCATTGTTTATAAGAGTATAAGAGTATCTAAGTGCAACTCCCACAATTTGAAGTTGTATTGAAACATGGTTCAGTGAAGAATCTAAATACCCATTGTATTTTGTGACTTCCTGTCACCCACTTGCTTTGGATGTATAGCTTCCTGATCACCTAGAGATTGCAAAGGATTTGGAAGACACAAATCCTCTTTTGCTGCTTTTTTTGTTGAATAAACTATTACTCCCTTCATCCCAAATTGAGAATCCCATATATCCCTTTTGAGGTGTCCCAAATTGCTAATACTATTTCCTTCTTTGAAGTTTTATTATAAAAATGTCCATTTTAACCTTACTTGTAGATATTGTTTCCAATCCTCAGCAAGTGTTTTTACGGATATAACATTCTACTCAAGGGTAATTGAGGAACTTTATCCCATTTTCTTAAATTTTGTGCCTAAAATGTATGGGACTATCTATTTGGGTTGTAGGGATTAGGGAGTACTTTATATTGATGTATTACTACTACTAACAATATCATATTTTTTGAAAACTATTTCCATTGTTAATATGGATAAACAATCGGCCTAAAGCAACTAGGAGTAGGAACCCGAAGTCCCAAACTTACTGAGAATCGGAAAATAATACTACGTATAAGTATAATTTTTTTTTACACTTGTACCACTTAATGTTTTTATTTCTTTTTGGTAGGGGGGTTTGGGAGCACATGGTGGAAGGACAGCAGCTGCTTCTCCAGGTGGTCCTGCAGGAAATACCACGATCGATACCATGACGGCATCTCCTTTACAATATGCTAATTCACCTAATCGTTCCGGGACAAATCTGATGACAATGAACACACCATCTCCCCAGCAACAGCCCCATCAACAACAGGCACCACCACAGCAGAGACAGAAACTGATGCAGTTAACTCAACAACAACAGCAGCAGCAGCAATTCCTTGCTCAACAGACATTTAGGCAATCCCCAATGACTGGATTGAATCAAGTAACTCCTGTTTGTTATTAGACTGTACTTTAAGAAAAAGATATTCACATAGCGTACATAAATATATAAAAAATAAACACAGATGTTATGTCATTTTGCTTATTGTTTTTCTATTATTACACTCTTAAAGAGCAGTTGCTTTTTTTCATGCTGAGATACATACATTTGACCATGATATGCAATGTTATGCTTGCAGAACCAGTTTGCACAGCTGCAACAAGATCTGCAGCAGGGTCAGAGTCCACAGAAGTTTCAATCTGTAATCTCCCATTGAACCTTACTCTTCTTTTTTACTGTAGGAAAAGCTGTTAATGACACGTGTCCTATCTTTTTGGCCTAATTTTGTACAATGTGTCGTGAAAAAAGAAGAAAAGTAGTATACTGTCATCCTGTAGCACATGAGGAATTGAAGAGCAAGTAAAGAGTGATAGTTATGATCACACAAATGCATTTTCTAGGCCAAATCTTAACTTGTTTGTGTTATCATCCCCATAGTTTTTAAATTATATTTGATATCCTTGCCTCCTTGGTCACCATCATCACCACCATCGTCATAGAAAGAGTAAGTATTAACTAACAATAGTTTACCATGGCATTTGTCAGATGCACGGTCAACCTCAAATCCAATTTTCTCAATCACATGGTGGAGCCCAGCAATTTCAGGGAAGGCAGTCTGCCTCCGGTGCTATTCAGCATGCTATGAGTCAAAACCAACTCAACCAAGGAAATCAGCTAAATCGTATGGTGAACCAATTTTCTGGCCCTGTGAATAGTGCACTCTTTAATCCTGCCCAGAGTGGGCCGACATCCCAGATGGTCAGTCCATTTTTCCATTTGTTTGCCTTGTTCCCTCATAGGGCATTAACTCAGAATTGAAATTAAATGTTGTGAATATATATGCTGATGCACATCAGTGACCCTGAAATGTAGCTACCTAATTTACACATACTGAGGTGTGCATATTTTTGTTGTTGTTTTGATAGTTAAATCTCTAATTTTACAACTTTACAAGTATTTCTGAATCAAAATAATTTTTTCAAGGGCATTTTTACACCGGACCCTCACCTTGAGGGGATGCCAATATGCACCGGGCTGCCCTTTTTTGTGTTTGAAAGTGGAAACAACTACATATACCCCCCCTGAGAAGTAAACTTTTTATTCCTCACTTCGTGAGAGTGTGTTTTTTTAACTGTACTGTTTTTTTTGGGGGGAGGGGAATTAAATCTCAGATTTCAAACATGTCAACAATGATGCCATCACCGTCTCTTTTGCGGACAACAATAACTTTGGACAATTCGGTAAAAAGCACTAGGCATCTGCTAGGTCACCTACACAAGCCTAGTGCCTAGTTTGAATAAAGCAGGCCGAAGTGGGAAAGAAAATAGTCACTCGGGAGATCCTCTTGACTTGGTGGTTTTTACATTTTATGATAATGCTTATTTGAGTTGCAAACTCCATTTCACTTTGCTCTGCAGTGCAATTCAGTTCTCTCAGAGTATTGATATTCTCTTTAATAACTTGTCAGTTTGGAATTTCGAGTGGCAATCGGTCTTTGGCTGCTTCAAGTCTAAGTGATCAAAGTACACGTCCATCACTCTATCTCGTCTAACATTTTGGTTTTCTTATGCATGTCTTTTGTTGTTAAGAAAAATAGAATTAGCTATCATTTATTAACTGTGATGCACCAAATGGGACAGTGTTCAACATGGGGACAAACAATCCTACTGGAAATATGATGCAAATGCAACACCAACAGCAGCATGGGACATTCGGAAATATAGGCCAAAATATACAAGTAGGTGGTAATGGTGGTGGGGCTCTTCAAAATGTCCCCCAAAATCACCCTTCTTATCAGCAGCAGCAGCAGCACAGGCCGCCTCAAGGACAACAGTGATGATTCTCTCGGGCTCACATAGCTAACTTGAAAAATACTCTCAAAAAAAAGCTAACTTGAAAAATGTGAGATTATCAATGGTCATCTCAAAGGCTAAAGTCAGTGGATTGTTATCAGTCTACAAACATTTGTGAATAAGCATATTTATGGAGCAAGTGTGGTGTAATGTCAATTTCATACCGAGTGCAGCTAGAAACCGTTAGGTTTGCTTTATGCTTATTGCTCAGTTCTTATTCTAAACAGATTAGAAAGTTTTAAATCAAATACAGAAGAGAACAGATTTAGATAATATCTCAAACATTCATATAATTGAATAAAACCAAAAAGACACTCCCTCCGTTCTTTATCAAGTCTCCTTTTAGGCTTTGGCATAGGTTTTTATGAGAAAATAATAGGGGTAATGTAAATGATGTAGTGGTTTATGTTTAAATGATTAATTAGGAAAGAGAAACGCGTAAGAGTAATAAAAGTAGGGGTTAAAAAGTATTTTAATTGAAAAAACTTACCAAAAAGGGAAAGAAAGACAAATAATTAATTTTCACAAAACTTACCACCCATTATTCTTTTCGTTGTTATTGTTGGTGTTATGCTGTCCTGCATTGTTACTAAAATCATTACTATTCTTTATTATTATCATTGTATATTTTTAAATTATTGTTATTAAGGTTATTATTATTATCATTCTTATGAAAATGTGTAATTATTTTTTCAGTAATTATTACTCCGTATTATTATTTGTAATTGCAACTTATTATTGTTATTATTTTTGTTTCTATATTAGTACAACTCTTTTACTAGTTCTTACTATTTATGTGTTAGATTATTATACTTTTATTATTTTCGATATATTTGTATGTAATTTATTTATTTAAATCATTAACAATGTGTTTTGGTTCTATTGCGCACATTGTCACTGTATTTTGTGTTGATATATTCACTTATTAATATCATTAACATATTATATACTCATATATACGAGTTAAGAAATTATTTGAATAATAATTAGATTTATGATATCATTATATTAAGGGATATATGATTCCTTATATTCCTTATATAGTCCTGTAATGGGCTCGTAATGGTCTATGGCCCGGTTATTTAGCCTGAGCGGGGCAGGCTCGGGTCGGTAAAAAGGAGGCCGGGCCTGGGCTCGGTTCCGGCCAAATTGATTTTTTTTTTGTTTTTTCCATTTTTTTGGGCTCCACCTCGGTTGGGCTTGATGTTTAGGAGGGGTTTGGGTGGTGGGGTGGTGGGGTGTGGGGGGGGGGGGAGGGTCAGGGATAGGCAGGTAAGCAAAAAAAAAGTACCCAAGCCGAGGCCCGGCCTGGACTGGACCCGGTGGCTACACAGGCCGGTCCAGGGTCCACCTATTCTGAACTGCCGGCCCGCCCGGGCCTAGGCCCGACCCGGATCCGGTATGGCGTGAATCCATCTCTAATCCTACGTATTTGCATCATTAATTATTATGGAGTATTATTTAGTTTAAGTTAACCATGTTGCATTACGCTTTGTGTCCTTGGGTGGTTGAATTGGGTATACATTTTATTAGACCAACTAAAAAGTACTAATGTTAGCAGTAGTGGACTTGATTCATCTAATGAATTATTTAAAATATCTTTATATATCTATATATTACTAAAAACGCAATAGTGCAGCAACCTTTGGGCGGGAATGCCACAAATGCTTCGAAGTGTAATTGTTGTGTAATGGATTCTAGATTATTCTCATTCAATTAAATGCATTAGTTATTAAAAGTTTCAATGTCTATTTTTTTTTGCTTTCTAGCTTGTAATCCCCCGATCCCCCCTCACCCCCACCCCCAAACCCCCCCAAAACACCCAGTCCTACCCTAGGAAAAGAAAAAAAATTGAAAAAAAAAGACCCTGGCCCGGCCCGGCCTGCCCGGGCTGGTTCGCCCAAAACTGGGCCCGAGCCCAGCCCACCCGACCTGCCCAAACGGGCTAAAAGCCCGGAACCGGCCAACCGGTCCCGGTCCGGTCCGGGCCCGCACAGTAGCGGCCCGGCCCGGCCCGGCCCGGTTTAGTCCATCCCTAATTGAAACAATGCTTCATATAAATGATAGAAGACACAGCGGTGCACATAATAGTATAATACTAAAGAGCTTTTAGTACTGAGTAGTAGACAGTAATAATTACGGGCAATGCTGGAGGGGACTTTTACAATACCCACTAAAACACAATTATTACAAAAGGGGGTTAAAGTAAATAGGAAGAGAAAATTACCAATTTACGGGAGTTTTGGGACTGACAAGCCAAAATACGGGACTTCGGTTTAGGTTACCATTTTACGGGAGTCGGATTCTCCAATTCCGACAGGAGGAAAAGCTTTAAAAAGTAAAAATAAAACCTAGTCGGAATTGTGTAATCCGACTAGGGGTGTTCGAATTTTTTTAACATTTCCATTATTTGTTTAATCCGAAGGAATTAAAAAAAAAACAAAAAAAAAACAATTTAAAAAAAACAAAAAAAACCTAGTCGGAATTGTGTAATCCGACTAGGGGATGTTCAATTTTTTTTTATTGTTTGCTTTGATTTGTGTTCACTCATTTTACCAAATTAAACGGAATATTGTCCCATTCAAACTCTTGAGTGTATACTTAAAAAAATCAATATATTTTGGTTGAAATAAAATGAAAAAAATACAAATTTTTCCATTATTGTAATCCTAAGCAATCAAAAAATAAAAAATATAAAAATAAAAAAACAAAAGCAAAACCGTCGGAAAGCCCACATCCGACTAGCAGTCTATTTTATTTTCGAAAAAACCAATCTATTTTGTTTTATTTTAAGAAATTTAATAAATTAAATTTTATAAATTAAATTTTATTTTAAGAAATTTATATTCGAGATAAATTTTATTTTATGTAACCCATAACTTTAGAATTATTTATTAGATAAAACTGATAATCAGATAAAATTTAATCAGATAAGTTCAATCAGATAAAATGAATCAGATAAAATTTTATCATATATAATTCAATCAAAATTCAATATATTTTGTCCAAACATATCTGTACAAAAATAAAGTGACCCAAAATCCAATACTTTATGTGTCAGATCATAAAACTTTCAATTTGACCCAATTAGGACACAATCATTTGAATTTTATGCAATCAGTCTATATCATTAACACGAGTTGTGAAATTTACCACGAGTTCCTTAATATATAGATGAAAATTTAATATTAACACTTGTGATTCACTTTTTTTAGACCCGGATCATAAAAATCCCAATTCGACCTGATAAGGATACAATCTTCGTTCTGAAATGCAATTAGCATATATCATGAACACAAATTGTGAAATTGACCACGAGTTACTTAATATATAGATGAATTTTTAATATTCACACTTCTGATTCACATTTTTTAGGATACAATCATTCGAAATGTAATCAGCATATATCATGAAAACGAATTGCAAAATTGACAATGGTTTACTTAACATATAAGTGGAATTTTAATATCCATACTTGTGATTCACATTTTTAGACCTGGATCATAAATCTCCAATTTGACCCAATAAGGGCACAATCATTCGAATTTTATGCAATAAGCCTATATCATGAACACGAGTTGTGAAATTGACCACGAGTTCCTTAATATATAGATGACAATTTAATATTAACACTTGTGATTCACATTTTTTAGACCCGGATCATAAAAACCGTAATTCAACCCAGTAGGGATACAATCATTTGAAATGTTATCAGCCTATATCATGAACACGAGTTGTAAAATTGACAATGATTTACTGAACAAATATATGGAATTTTAATATTCATACTTGTTACCGCCTCCGGTCCTTATTAAACTTTACACTTTGACTTCACATATATTAAGGAAATAAATTTGACTTTACTGTACAGTACACTGTTTGGCACTGTTTGACACTGTTTGACACTGTTTGACACTGTTTGACACTGTTTGGTGTAGATTTGTTTGCCAAATAAAGCAAATAAGGAAGTGTAAAGTTTAATACGGGACTGCTCAAAGTGTAAAGTTTGACAAAGTTTAATCACCTAAATCTAACTTCCACCTACCAATTCAATTCATTTTTTATGGCTTAAGATTTTGATCAGATAAATATAATCAAATAAAATTTAATCAGAAAAAATATAATCAGATAAAATTTTATTAGATAAAAAATATAATCAAATAAAATTTAACACTTGTGATTCACATTTTTTAGACCCGGATCATAAAAACCCCAATTCGACCTGGTAAGGATACAATCTTCTGAAATGCAATTAGCATATATCATGAACACGAATTGTGAGATTGACCACGATTTACTTAATATATAGATGAAATTTTAATATGCACACTTGTGATTCACATTTTTTAGCCTTGGATCATAAAAACCCCTATTCGACCCAGTAGGGATACAATCATTTGAAATGTAATCAGCCTATATCATGAACACGAGTTGTAAAATTGACAATGATTTATTTAACATATAGATGGAATTTTAAAATTATTAATTTAACATTTTCGATTAATTAAACTCAAATTTAACTCAAATTATTAATTATTAATTTCTAATATCCCCTTGTCGGATTTACCAATTCCGACATGATTTTTTTTATTATTTATTGATTTTTTTTCGTTGTAATTCATTCGCAATATATAAAACTTCTAAAAAAAATCCTCTCGTCGGAATTGGGACTTCCGACAGGAGTAAAACCAATTTTTTATTTTGTTTAAAAATCCCTATATCGGATTTAAGTTGGGATTTACTATTTCCGGATTAATATCAAAAAATAATATTAAGTGATGGAGTATATGGCCCGGGAACCCCCGGTCCACAGACTCCTACTACTCCAGCGAAGGCCCAACAGGCCCAGAAGGCCCAATGGGCCCAAATCACAGCGCCCAGAGTACCAAGCAGCCCGCACTACGCGCCAGGGGTGCCTTCGCCCCCCTGGCCGAAGGCTCTAAACTCTCACAGGACGGGCTTCGCAAGCAAATTAAGAAACTGGGAGAAAACGGTGAAAACAGTAGCCCTCGGCACTGTGAGCCCTCGGCACCAGGGTGCCATCGGGTGGAAGAGCCCTCGGCTACTGCTCTATAGCCGAAGGCATCTCACTCGACAAGATATCCGCCTCACATGCGTACAGATCACCGTACCCCGTACAGACGTCCCATCCAACAGCCGCATTAAATGCGGCCACATGCGGTTGCCAGCGCCGACCAGTTGAGGTGACCCCTCGGCCAATGAGCGCTTGACACGTGTCCCTGTCCGGCATTTATTGCTACTATAAATAGCACCCCATTTCCCCATTTGTAACCACGCTGAAAACGGCATTCAAACTGAATACACT